TGTACCAAACAAGCCAGCCCGAGCTTCCAGGAGGGCAATGAAACTTGCAACAGGACCAGAAATGCATAGTGTGGGGTCTGAATTTCCAAAACAGGGCTGTAAAACCCCCAGACCCGTTCATCCTAATTTTACCACTTAGAGAACAGCTGGAAGGAACCCCAGTGCAGCAGCTACATCCCACAAGCAGGCTTCCTTACTGAGGTGCTGTTATGGAATAAACTGAGCCCCCCGCAAATTTTGTATGTTGGAAACCTGGATTCCCAACGTAATGGTGTTAGGAGGTACAGGCTTTGGGAGTAAATTCGATTTATATGGGGTCATTATGATATCTCCCTCTCCCTTATGAGAACCTAGTGAGAAGGTGGCTATCTACAAGCCAGGGAGGAAGCCCTTCCCAGTAACCAAATCTGCCAACACTTTGACCTGGGACTTCCAGCCTCCAGAACTGTGGGAAATAATCGTCTGTTATTTAAGCCACCTGGTCCATAGCAGCTACTGAGGTAGGGCCCAAGCTGATGAAGACAGGTACTCACCAGGAGGACGCTAGGGAGGTAGAGTCCATGTGTTAGTCTATGCAGCCTGCTGTAACAAAGTGCCTTAGACACCATAATTTATAAGTAACATAAATGTATTGCTTACCGTTCTAGAGGTTAGGAAGTCCGAGCTCAAGGTTCCCACAGATTCGGTGTTTAGTGAGGGCTCATTCCTCACTAGGGAGGGTGCCTTCTGTATGGCTTCCTGTGGCAGAAGAGATAAGCAGGCTCACTCAGTCCTCCTCTACAATGACACCAATCTCATGCATGAGGACAGAGCTCTTAGGACCTAATCACTTCCCAGATGCCCCATGTCCCAGAACGCTGCACTGAGGATTAAATTTCCACATAGGAATTTTAGACTGTAGCAATCAGAAATCTTTTTGAGACTATTTTTTTTCAAAGATCACTCCCAAGACACAGTCATATCAGATACCTTTGGCTGGTAGGGAACATGGAAACCCCACTGAAGATCTCCACCCTCAGCACATTCTTGAGTGTTGGATAAAAGATACACCAGTGTCAAGCTCAGGGAGGTCTGGGCAGCCAAGAACCACTTAGGTTCTTTGTCCAGAGTTGACTGATCAGACCAGAAGAAGTGTTGACAGTGTTGGGTCAACACCAGTATCCCCGAGTCAGTCTGACAAAAGCAGACCCCGATCAGTGTGTCCTTCGCCACCCTAAGCCCAAGGGTCAACACGAGAGCAGCTTGCCATGGCAGTGTGTGCATCGGAATGTGGGCTCCCTTATTCTCTGCCCTCTGTGATGATGTGAATGCTGGCATGTGTGGCAATGAGGAGTCCAGGCAGCCGCGGTGGTGGTCTGGGAGGCACAGACTCCACAAGCTGCTTGGTTCTAATTGGTCTCATCAGAGGACAAGTGGTCACTATGCAAGATGACATGAGTGACTCAGACGTTTGGATCAGCAGCTGTGATTTGCTGCCCTATTTTGTGGCCCCGAACAGGGCTATCTTTAATCAACCAGTCTGTAGTTTTCCAAGTGGCAGGCCAAATTGCTAGGTCATTGACAACAGCCCAAGTATCAGTAAAAATGTAACAAGCTTTGTCAAAGGAGTTGGCCAGAACTATGAACACAGCCTGGAGTCCTGCCCCATGAGTGAACATCAGGTCCACTTTCAGATCGGCAGAGCTGTGCTCAGGAGCCGCCTCAGTCCCATGGACTCTGGCAGGCTTCATCTGAGTGAGGAGTCGGGGAACCAGGCCCCCGTCATGTAGGGATTCTGTGTACCAAGGGTCCTCCAGAGTCAGTGTTCTACTTTGGGCAGCAGTGAGAGGAATAAACTTTCCACCAAGGAAGTTTGTTAACCACTTTTTTATCTGATCCCAAAACGCTGCTGGGATGGAGCCATCTGTATTTTTGGATATGCCATTTCCATTTGATAAGTGATGAGCCCGTGAGTTTCTCTCATGAATAATCATGACAATAATTATAAACAAAATATTTAGCAAATTGAATCCATCAGTATATTACAACAAATCTGGATTTATCCCATGGATGCAAATTGGATTAATATCCAAAAATAGTTCAATGGCAGTCTCCTGCTCCCAAGAGCAATGAAATAGCTAATGGCAAACGCACCTGTCTGCCCACCTCAATGAGAAAAAAAAAAAAGACAACTACAGAAATCTCCTTTAGAATAGCAACTAAAAGCTGCCAAGGCACTGAGAATTAATAAAGCTAGGAAATTTAAGATTGGAAAACTGGGACAAGAAAACCTGCAGCTATAGTTGCTTTTAATTTGCAAATCTGATTGTAGGGAAAGATTCTGGCAAGATTTTGGAGGCCTTATACATGTATCGGCTTTACCAATAAGAGGGTTTTGGGGGCTTTTTGTGACTTTGCTGAACACAGGACAAGTAGCTAAAAACATGAGCAGAAAGCCTTGGGAAGTTGAGCAATTTGGATCCCTACCATCGTAGGGAGGGCCTACAGAGTACAACAAGCTCTTATATGAAGATAGAAATGCCATCATCTTTCTGTGTCACCAAGACAGGTGTGCTGACTGTCCACCAAAAGAAAGAAAATATCTCTCCCAGGAACAGAGGTGTGGCAGGTGGACTTGCAGCTCATTAGGACAGTCTTGGGGTTTACTAAGCTCGGGGCCCCTCGGCTGTAACACAAACCCACTGTGCACAGTGTCCACCACCCTGTGAGAGTTAGGAAGCAAGGGAACTGCCAACTCTACGTTCGTACTGCAAATCTGCCCCGGGAATCTCGTGTTTTCTTCCGGTGTCCACAAAACTGTGGCAAGCTATTTATTTAAAGTGTACACGGTGGTGTTTTGATATATATGTGCATTATAAAGTGATTACAACAATTAAGCTACCAGCATACCCTTCAGCTCATGCAGTTACTATTTTTTGGTGTGTGGGTGCATTTCACATCCACACTCTTAGCAGATTTCCAGTGAGTGGTGTGGTATTGTTACCATGCTGTGTGTTAGATCTCCAGAACTTACTCATCCTCCATAACCAAAACTGTTTGTCTTCTAATTAGTTCGTTCACCTTTAATGAAAGTACTGATATGTTTTTATTTAAACCTATTACTCAGAGTTAAGTCTAAACTATCATCTGGCTGTTAATATCATGGTGTTTGTTTTTCTTCTCTTGTACTCTTCTGAATTATTTAAGGTCATTTGCCATTCTGTTTTCTGCTCTAGTAGCTTGTTAGTTTGGGGGTGCCTACCCAAAAGTTTATGAAACGCATCTTTGAGCTACTAAAATTAGCCTTCAGTAGGTCCTTTTACCACTTCCAGGGCGACGTAAGGACCTCAGCATTTATGTCATGTCGTGTGAATTCTCATAGTTTGGGTTATTGGTGTCATTTGTTTTAATCCTGCATATAATTCAGTCCCCCTTGGACACGGCTAGTGTCACTTTAGACAGTCAGTATATATTTGCAGTCTCCTCCTTTCTTTTGTTTGCCTTGCTTGCACCCAGGATCATTTTCCTCCTGCTTTGATTTTTTCACTGTGGATCTAATGATAATAAATTTTCTTTAAATTTATCTAAGGTGCAGAATTCTAGACTGGTCGTAATTTATTTTTTACCAAAAGAAACTTTGATAAATAATATTTCAATAGGAATTGTACTTAAATCATGGGTAAATTTGGAGAGAATTCACATTTTTACTAGGTTGAGCCTTCCAGTTCATGACCATGGTGTGTCTCTCCAGTTGTTCAGATAATTTTATTTCTTTCATCAATAGTTTACACTTTCTAACATACATGTACAAGTATTGAACATGTTATGTTAGATCTATACCGACATATTTAATTTTCAATTAATTATAAATAATATTATATTTTTATCTAGATTTCTGTGTATTTGCTACTGCTATACAGAACACAGTTGATTTGTACATACTGATCTCACATCCTGGGATGCTGCCAAAGTAACTTATTACTTGTAGACTTTTGTAGGTTCATTCTCACTTTCTGCATGAACCCTCATGCAAAAATGGACAGTGTTATTCCTTCCCTTCTAATCTATAACTAAAGCTTTCTTTCTTCCTTCCTTAACTTATTTCGCCGGCTAGGACTTCTATTACTAAGTTTCATGGAGGAAGTGAGAATAGACATCCTTGCTCTTTTTGTGTGCTTGGAGGTAAAGCAGTCGGTCTTCACCCCTATGTATAACATTAGCTCTGTGAATCTGGTAGCTGTTTTTATCAAATTAAGGAAGGTCCCTGCTATTCCTAGTTGTATGGGAGTTTTTCATCTTGAATAAAAATTGAACTTTGTCAAACCCTTTTTTGCATTCATGTTATGACGGTGTGATTTTTTTCTTCAGTACCTTTTTAGTATGTTGATATGGTGAATGGTAATTGATTGAATGTCAAATGTGGAGCCAGCCTTACGTCTCTGTACCAGACCCCGGTCGGTTGTGGTGTATAATCCTCTGAGTGCTGTGTGCAATTTGGCAGCGTATTCATGAGCAGCATTAGGCTATACTTTTAGGTGCTTTCTTCACGTGGTTTCGGTGTCAGGGTAATACTAGCTCTTTTCTGGAGGAGACTGCACTGCACTGGTTGTGAGTGTACCTCCTTGTATATCCTTTTTAGTGGCTGTTGTAGATAATATATACATATAGATATCAAAGTCCACTGGTCTTGCAACTTGACCATGGAAACCTCACCTGCCTCTTTTGTTCCTTTATCCTCCACCCTTCATAATGCGACTGTCTAAGTATTTGCCATGCATATATTGAAACATGCAGATAGACGATATACTTGTTGCTTCTACCATCCGATATAATTTAGAAAACTCAAGACAAGATGGAAAGCGCCTTACCTTTGCCCATGTCTCCACCCTTTATTTTGCTTGAGAAAGGCTCACGCAGGTGTCCAGAAAGTCTTCCCCTGATATCTGTGATTACCTAGCAAACACAGTCGCTGTCATCCTGGCTTTTCTGGGCTTCTGCTCTAAAGCGAACCTCTGTTCCAGGTCGCCTGAACTGGTGGTCCACCGTGTGCACGAGCTGTAAACGGCTTCTTCCTCTGGCCACAACAGGGGATGGGAACTGCCTGCTACACGCGGCCTCACTGGGTAAGCTCTACAGCACAGAAAGCGGGTGGCAGGGCTCTGGGCCAACCAGTGACGTGGGTTAAGTGGAGCCACTGTGTCATCGTCATGCAGAAGAGCCCCCAGGGGACACAGCCAGCTTTCCTGGCCTTTCTGGCCAAGCCCCTGGCTGGCTTGGTGGCGAGAGAGACGCATGTGAGAAAAGACCCGTCATGACTTAAGAAGGCCACCAGCAGGAGCCGTGGGGATGGGAATTAGAGATTGTGGCCTGTAGTAATCAAAGAGGACTTTCTGGAGGAGGCAGGCTCTCCACTGAGACCTGAAAAACTTGAAAGAATAGGAGACAGGATGTACCTGCAGGGAGACCCCACACACGGGGCAAACCGCAGGCGTGCGCAGAGGCAGGACTGAGCTAGGCGAGGCTCTAGCAAGAAGGGGGAGGAGCAGTGCGTGAGGTTGGGGAGTTGTGGGGCTGCCGTGCTGACAGCAGTGAACCGGAACTGGCAAGAAGACAGCTTGGGTAAGTCTCCGGAGAAGCAGCGCAGTCAGAGCATGCGGCGGACACTTCGGCAACCTTCCCGGGGTGAGGTCGCAAAGGCTGGACCGCAGGTGCGGACGGCATATTTAGCAATGCTGGCGTAGCTGAGGGTTGTGGGGGGCTTTCTGGAAGGTTGCCCTTCCCCGCTAGCCCCCGGCTTATGTGCCGAAGGCCAAATCCATTTTGAGAGGCCAGTTCAGACTTGGACCCTGGACCTGACGGTAGGCCAGTTCTCCACTTCAGGCCAGAAGTAGGGAGTCTCCGCCCAGGGTGCAGGACCCTCGGAGGAGGATGTGGTGCCTGTTGGTGAAACGTGCCCGCCCAGGTGACTATGGTGCCCAGAGCAAGGTCCAGGCCCGGGCCTCTCCAGAGGGCAGGGAGGCTGCTCCACAGCAGCAGGCTGAGAAGAGACTGCAGGGGCTTTCAGAGGGGAGCGCTGGGGTCTGGGAAGGGGCCAGGGGGTCGGGGAGGAGAAGGGAGCTGGAGAGCAGAGGGGAGCTGCCTGGCCTCTAGGGCAGTGATGGGAGAGACAAAGGCATCGGCTTCACCACTTCCTTTCCATGAAAACACTAGTACATCCTGTTTCGGGGCACCCATCATGGGAAGAAAATAAAACTCCATAATCCCACCACCTACCACGGCCACTTTTAACATTTTGATACATTGTCGTCCAGTCTTCTGTCTGTGCTGCTGTAATCTGACTGCGTTTGCAGTTTGAAATCCAACATTTTCCACTTGGAATTTTTAAATGGACTTTAATTCTTATTGATATATAATCATTGTGTGTATTTGTGGAGTGTAATCACCTTCGAGTTGTTTTTGAGAATTTCCTATGTTGTTCCTCTCCAAAAACCCAATTTTAGTAGTTGGGTCATATTTCTTTATAATACTTAATGTTAGCTATGCTGCTGTTACTGGATATATTTTGCCTTGTTTTATATAAAATTTGGGGGAAGAATATAGAAATCTCTTATCTGTGTCAGACAGCAGCCTGAGGCACAGTGTCAGGCAGGGAGAGAGCTTTGTCCTTTAGATGCTGCAGTGCGTCCCGCAGTCCCCACCAGCACCACAGGAGGGTATGAGGCCACGTGCCACACTGGGGTCTGGGCTGCATTTTCCCATGAGCACTCTGGGCCTCCTAGCCTTCCTGGGATGAGGAGGCCTCCTGGGGCCTTGCCTGTCTGCTGGAGAGGTTGAGCCAGGACTGACCGGGGCTGCAGGGCCTCTCCTGAGAATCCCCCACACAATACTGAGCTTGGACATCAGAGGCAGTTGGTCCTTTCAACCCAGTACAGCTGAGCATCCCTAACCTAAAACTCCAGACTGCTCCAATATCAGAAACGTTTTGAGCGTCAGTGTGATTCCACAAGTGGCAAATTCCACACAATGAAAGCTTGCTTCAGGTACAAAGTATTGTATAAATTACCTTCAAGCTATGTGTATACGCTGTACGAAACATAAATGAACCTCACATTTAGATGTGGGTCCCATCCCCAAGATATCTCACTATGTATGTGCAAATATTCCAAAAAAGTCCAAAGAATCCAAACTCTGATACACATTTGGTCCCAGTCATTTCAGGTGTTTGTACTTTGCTTTCATAGTGTGCTTGCATCGCTAAACTCCACAGGATGAGGATTGCTCCAGCAGCCATGTGACGGTCACCAGCAGTGCTGTGCCACACCTGCTGAGTGGGCCTGACAATGACCCAGGATTACTGGGCACAGTGAGATGACAGTGATCTGGGAGGCCCTGTGTGGGAGAGCGACCTGTGCTAACAGCCATGGGACCAGAGGCTTCCCAGAGAGCCCAGGCAGGCAGCTGAAACAGGTCTGAGGATGAATAAGGACCAGGAAAGCCATTTCCCTCCATCTGTCCCGCAGAAATGGAGAGCAGCCTGGCCTGCTAGAACACCTGTAGGTGTCTCTAGTTACTGAACATGGATGGTGGCCGGCCTCACCTTTACAAACAGTAGTCGGCTTGGGCTGCACTCCCCAGAGGCTCCCGGTTCACTCGAAAGTCTGCCTGTTTCCTGTGCCTCGTCCCCTCCACCGTGGCTCTAATCACCCTTCCCTCCTGCCTTTCCCAAGTGCACCACACAGACCACCCCTTGTCAGAGGCTTCCATGGCCTTTCCCTCTGCCTGAAATGGTGACTCATCTCCCTCCTCCAGCCAGTCCAGCTCTGGCCCTGACGTCCGTTCGCATTGTAACAATGCCCCTGCCACTTCTTCCTCTTCGCCTGCTACTTCTCTCCTTGGACGTTGTTGCTCTACACTTCATGCTAAATCCTCACTTCCCACTTTCCCACTGTGTGTGTTCCATCGGATTTAAGAACTGCATGTGTCCTGGTCCCTGCCGTGCAAATCCTCAGCATTCTGAGTAAGGGGGTGGGTGGATGGGTGGATGAGTGGATGAATGCACTCTGCTGTTCTTTCCCCAGGAGCCAGGGTTGTACCTCTCTCCAGCCTTCTGCTATCACTTGGGTGTCTTGGCCACATCTGAGCAGCCCCAGCCTATACTCAGAGAAAGTCAGTGTATCTTTACAGCCCCTCAACATGCAGCACTGGGGACACCAACTCCCCGGAAGCCAGGTGCCCCCTGCTGGCCCAGATGTGTGCAGTTGTGTCCACCGAAGATTCTTGGAAGTGGAGATGCCCTGGGGCTGTGGACATCAGGTGTGACAGACTCTGGGGAACCAGGATGTCACTGGCCATCCTGCAGGAGCCCTAGGTGATGACATACCACCAACTTAGCCCCAGAGGCAGTCTCCCACCCAGACGCCAAGACCGGGAGAGTGAAGAGTAGGTTACTCCAAGCAAACCTGTGAGGTTGAAGCCTGTAGTCACAGGTCCCAGAGAGAGTCAGCGTTCACTTTTACCTGCCATTATTTGGTTAAGGAGGCTATGTGCTGCTTCATTCTCCTACCTAAGCTGAAAGAGAGCTCTAGGAAAAAAAAATAAGAGGGGAGAAACTGAGCCTGTGATGAGAACTGAACAGCCACAGCGGAGCCTTTGTGAGGACAGACAGCAGTCCAGCCCGGTAGGTCCCTGGCTGCCCTTCCTCATGCCCTTTGCCTCTCTCCTCTCCCACCCCTGGTCTCCCCACTGCAGGAATGTGGGGTTTTCATGATCGAGACCTGGTTTTGCGGAAAAAAAAATAAGAGGGGAGAAACTGAGCCTGTGATGAGAACTGAACAGCCACAGCGGAGCCTTTGTGAGGACAGACAGCAGTCCAGCCCGGTAGGTCCCTGGCTGCCCTTCCTCATGCCCTTTGCCTCTCTCCTCTCCCACCCCTGGTCTCCCCACTGCAGGAATGTGGGGTTTTCATGATCGAGACCTGGTTTTGCGGAAAGCCCTGTACACCATGATGAGGACGGGCGCAGAGCGAGAAGCCCTGAAGCGGAGGTGGAGGTGGCAGCAGACGCAGCAGAACAAGGAGGTTGGTACCTGCTGGCCTGGCTAGAGCCAGGGACCCATGCCAGGGGCAGCCTCGGGCCCTCCGGAGTGGAGAGTGTGGCCCGTGCGTGTAAGTGCACTTTGTGAGGCTGGGCAGAGACTCGGAGTCAGTAAGGACCCAGAAGTAGGCCCAAGGCGGAGGCGCTCCTTACAGCAACACAGCTGGGTAGATGGCGGCTGCGTGCCCACTCACACCTCCCGCCCTGGCACAGTTAGGAGAGTCACATCCAGTGTGGCCGTCGGCCCCAGCTCCTGTGCCAGCTCAGTCCGGAGAACCCCAGGGTCCCTAACCGCGGTGCACATTAGCACTTGGCTCTCCTAGGAGAATCTAACAGCTTTCTGACTCAAGTTAGCCCCCAGCCCTTCACAGTGTGTCCTGGGCAGCCCCCAGCCAGGTGCATGTGCGCAGCAGCCCCCTAGGAACCTTTCTGTGGGGCGGACCCCATCAGCTCTGAAAGGAGAGATGGGGGCTTCTCCGAAGATATTTCCCAAGCAAAGCAGGGACTATTCAGAGCCATTTGCGGACATGGCCAGCCCAGGTGCTCACGGGGCGGGGACCGACCTGCGGGGTCCGGAGCAGCTGTGCCTGGGAGGGGCGGGGAGGCGCGGCAGCCCACCTCCTGACCCGGCCCCACTTGCGCCAGTCAGGGCTGGTGTACACCGAGGAGGAGTGGGAGCGAGAGTGGACGGAACTGCTTAAGCTGGCCTCCAGTGAGCCGCGCACGCACTTCAGCAAGAACGGCGGCACAGGCGGTGGGTGAGTGCTGCCCCCCCGCGCTCCTCGCCACCCAGGGCCTCAGCAGCATGAGGGAGGAGGTACAGGGGCAGCGTGACGCTCGCAAGCTGTGACAGGCAGAATTGCATCTTTCCGTCGTCAGATGCTAAACAAGGGTGCACAGGAGGCTGTGGGGACAGCCCCAGGGAGAATGTGCCGGCTCCATGAGGCGCAAGCTCACGCGAGCGCCTTCCTCCTAGGGTCAGGCCTCCTCCCGCAGAGCGGCCGCGGCTGCGGGCATAGCCGGCCCCAGAAGTAGCCCCGGACAGTGGGTGGTCATTCCCACCGGTGACCACTGCATGACCCCACTCTGCGGGCTCCGGCGATAGCATTTGGGTTTTCTGCTTCACTAAACAGTGATTCAATCCGTGGCTTCATATAGTCATGCTGAAAGCCAAAGACCACTGAACTGGTCCAGCTTTTCCCAGACAGACTCCATATTCCTGGCAGAAAGGCTTCCCACTTTCAGTGGGAAAACTCAGATGTTCCAGTGTGGGAATGAAGAGCTGGCCAGACAGGAAGGCCGCAGAGCCTTTGGCAGTGGCCTTTTAAAGGGCGTATGCTTCAGTTTCTGTTGTTTTGGACCTTAAGGCAAAGGCTTTGCCCCAGAAAAGGTCTCAGCCAAACACAAGAAACTGTGACTGTTCATACGGCAGACCCCGGGGGTAACAGAGGCTCTGTAGCTCCTGGCCAGCCTCAGCTCACAGAGCCCAAAGCGGCTGTCTGGGAGCTCACTAACCCCAGACGGGCCTGGTGCCTTCTGGGCCTGGCCTCTCCCAAGCCCAGAGCTGAAGGTCAGGCTGCAGCCGGGGCTATGGCTGCCTTAGCAGGGGGCCTGAGCCAAGAGGAGCCCCTGCAACTCAGAAATCAGAGTGTGCAAGCCCATGACTGCGACAGGGCTGCTTTGTTTTGATGATGTGCACATCAAACGTTGCTGACCCACCCTACTTAGGAACAAGCACGTTTGAGTGTTTGAAGACAGGCACTGGTTCCTGAAAACTCAGCTCTTTTTGTCCGTGACTCCTGAGTCCGGCCTTAATGGGCCTCCAGTGGTCCTCAGCGTCCTCCTCACTGTTGTCTGTCCTGCACCCGATGGATGCTGGAGGATTTGGTCCAGTCTGGGTGTCTCTTCCAGGGTGTGGAAGGTGGGGAGATGTGTGGAAAGACAGAGCAGTGATGATGATGATGATCAGGAGGAGGAGGAGGAGGAGGAGTATTCTGTCCATTTTCCATTGCTATAACAAAATATCTGAGGTTGGGTATTTATGAAGAAAAGAGGTTTATTTAACACATAGCTTTGAAGGCTTCAAGTTCCAAAAGTGTGGCTCTGCCTCTGGCAAGGGCCACACTGACTACACCCCATCAAAGACGACGATGCCACGTAGAAGTGCTTGCAGGAAGGAGCCAGCTCATGGAAATAGAGGAGGCCAGGGTGCAGGGAGGAGCCAGGGGCATTCATCTCATTACAGCCCTCGGGAGAAAACCAACTCAGGGTCCCACAAAAGCCACCTTCATCCCTGCAGAGGGCAGCGCCCCCAGCAAGTCATCACGCTCCCACCAGGCCCAACCCCTTAAACAGTCAACCACTGCCCTCATTGCCACATGAGGACCAAACTCGCAACACAGGAACCCTTAGGGATCTACTCGATCCACGTGCAAGGCTCACAGCAGTCGTGAGCCCAGGCCACCCCCACTGAGCACCCCATTCAGCAGGGCTCTGACCACAGTGCCACAGCTGATTAGTCCCATCCAGCTTTGAAGGCCACAGCTTTGGCCTCGCTGCCTGCTCCCTGGGACCTGAGAGGGGCCAGGTAGAAATGGGAGTGGAGAGGCATCTGGGGTTGTCCCCACCACAGGCAGAGCAGGACAGCGGCAGAGAGCCTACTCAGTGATGCACTTTCTTTTGCCCCAAGAAACGCCTTGGTTTCCTCTTTCACAGATTGGAGAGCTGAGCCACACAGAGGTGTTACACAGAGGTGTTGCCCTGAGGTGCACACAGCCCTGTCCTGAATCCCTGCTTTTGTATTTTGTTACCTGGTTCAGACCACAGCATCCACATAGGCAGTGTCATCAAATGGCTCCTTTGATTCTATTACAAACTGTAGCTCAGTGTGGGCACATAGAGCCAGGGCCAGCAAGCGTAGAGCTGAGCACTTTCATACACACATGAGAAATGCTCCTGCCCAGGCCTGTGACATCAGCCAAACAGACCCATGGAGAAGCTGGGGCAAAAGCCAGGCCCAGTGGGAGACACGCTCCCCACTCTTCCTGCACAGCTCCTGTCTGGGAGCCAGAGGAGGAAGGCTGGCTCTCCATGAGGCCAGGATTCCCTAGCAATCAGGAAAGGGGGAATGTGGCTGGCTGTGAATTAAAGGTCACCTGCTAAGCACATACTGTGTTGAAGCATGTGAAATTGTCGTCATCATCATCACCAAATATAGGTAAGGAAGCTGAGATTGAAAGGATTAGTTGATATATTAATCAGAGTTCCCCAGAGAAATGGAAAATGTACATGTATATCCTACTGTACATGTGTATATATGCACATACGTCTGTATATCCTCTGTTAACGATGTGTGTATTCACACACTCGCATATATATGTGTGTCCACACATGACTGAGGAGTCGGAGAAGTCCTGAGACCTTCGGTCTGCAGGAGGGAGTCCTGGAAGTGCCGCTAACAGAGTCCGAAGGCTGATGGTGCAGATTCCAGCCCAACCCTAAATGCCTGGGAAGCAGGAGAACCGAGGGCAGGGATCTTCATCCCGGATTACATGGCCAGGCAAGGAGCAAATTCACCCTTCTCCTGCCTTTTGGTTCTGTTCTGACCACCCCCACTGGGAGGGCCATCTGCTTTCCCACATCTGCCAGTGCAAATGCCAGTCTGTTCTGGAAACACCTGCACACGCACCAGAAATACTGCTTCACAGAAATTGACACATAACGTTCAGCCTCACAAGTTAACTGTGTTCCACAGCCCATAAGAGACAGCCAGAATCCAAACCTAGCGCTGACGTGAGACATAAATTCACACTCTTGGAAAATGAAAAACAAGTATAAAGAGCAAGGATCAGCAACAGGAGGCCATACTGGTCACTGATGGAAGTTCCAAACCCACTGTGTCCCTTCAGAGTGTCTGGAGCCTCACAGTCCTTCTGCCCTCACTTCTGGGTTGTAGCTCTTAGCAGGGCCCCCGTTAGCTTGCACTGTGCCTTTATGGCATCTTTTGAGAAACCTGCTTCTCTGGGCAGATGCGGTCCTTGGCTAGACACCCATGGCCAGCCCCTGTCTGGGTTGGTTCAGAGATGCCCACACCACTCAAATGCTGCCAGTGAGGTGTGTGTGTGAGCAGAACTGTGTAGCCGAGAAGGTGAGGGGCCTCTCCACAGGCTGCACTGGAGGGGTCTTGAGGATACTGCAGAGAGGAAAACAGTGTCAGGATAGCAAGGATGGCTCCTTACCTTCTTCAGGGGTGGCATGTATGGGGTGTACCTCCCACGTGTAGGTACTCTTTTACGCACATACACATGCACTTAAATTTTAAATGCACCCCCCAAACCAACTGATACATCCCTGTCCTGCAGTGACTGCAACTTATTATCCAAACTGGTTCATTCGGGAAGGGAAAGTAGGGACTGTCCACTCAGGATGTGTGAAGTGGGACTTTGTCAAGCAAAGCAACAGGTGTGGTCACCTCACCTGAAGAAAGGAGACATGGGTGCTGACCGAGCTCCCCTCGGTGTGGCTCAGTGATTGCCCTTCGGGAGACCTGCCACCTCCTCCCCTCAGGCAGCTTCCTTGCCAGTCACGAGCTCTCACTGGGGTGGCCACACCTTAGCCAGGACACCTCCAAATCTGCACCTTGCCACTGCTGTCTGGGACCTGGAATATCTTCCAGGCCTTGCCTCACTACCTTTGCTTCTGGGTCCTGCCAAGAGGGGTCCCCACCCCTGCCTCTGCCCGGGCCTCTTATTACCGTCTTTCTCCGGGGATTTTTATTGTGTGGGTGTCATGTGTCCCTGTTCTCAGCAATGCTGCCTCCAAGGAGAGGAGGCAGATGCCCTGGAGAACGCAGTGCAGCACACAGCAGGATGAGAAGTCCTTAGGCTGCGCACGTCTTTGAGGATGACATGTTGGGTGTCATGTGTCCCTGTTCTCAGCAATGCTGCCTCCAAGGAGAGGAGGCAGATGCCCTGGAATGCAGTGCAGCACACACCAGGATGAGAAGTCCTTAGGCTGCGCACGTCTTTGAGGATGACATTGTTATATTGTGCATTAGTTTTCTGTACAGTAAACACACATTATTAAGCATTTCAGAATATTTTGTCTTTTCTCAGACCCCAAATCCTGTTCACAGTCTGAGGGTTAATTGCTGACAAGTAAGCTCACAGGAAGAAAACTGATGCTGCAAAGTTACAAGTGGGAATAAATGTTCAGGGTTTTGCTGGAGCAGATTCTGACCAATGGGCTCCACTAGCAGTTTCACATCTGTGGGTCACAGTGCCAAAGTCAGTCCCAGACATGATCCGCATTGGCCCGCTGAGGGGCCTGAGAAGTTGCTGGTGTTCTCTGGCTGCATTCAATGCCGAGGCCCTCAGCAGCCATGGGATATGGTCATGCACAGAACAAGGGTGAGTGCAGAGCCAGGGATCACCTTAAACCCTGTGACAAGGAGCTGCATACAAGTAGAGAATAGCATATGACACTCAAGAGTGCCCCAGGCTGGAGCTGAGACCCTCTCTGCCACCTCCTGGGTCAGTGAGAAGGTTCTCTGTTGTTCAAATGGTTCCCATGCTCAACAGCTTCTGGCCCTGTCCAACCGTGAGACTGCATGACATGCATGGCCCAACTTCATGCTCTGGCCCTGGTGTAGACCGGATTGACTGATGCATGGACAGACAAGTGGGGGTGTGGATGGGTCTATGGATGAGTGAGTGGATGGTTGGATGGATGGACGGTGGATGGATGGGTGGACAGGGAGATGGATGAAGGGAAGGATGGATGGATGGACAGATGCATGGATGGATGGATGGATGGAAGGATGATACAACCTGAGGGCAAGAGTTACCCGAGAGCCTCTGCCATGCCTTTCATGGGATTGGCACATAGAAAGTGCTTGGTAAATGTTTGCTCTTTTCAGTTTGAAACACAGTGGCCCATGCTTTATACTTTGTGTAAGAAAATGTCATGCAGTCCTACTGCTACTAATATTTAGCCCCTTACCCTTCTGTAGTTACTCAGATACTGATGTGTCCCTTCATGGTGTGAGGCCCTTTCGCCATGGCCATCCTCCTTTTTTTTTTTTTAATACCAGGGATCAAACTCGGGACCTTGCACTTGAGAGGCAGGTGGTAGAACCACTGAGCTAAATGCCTGGCCCAACTGTCTTCCTTTTCAACATTAATACCTGACTCAAACAGCTCATCTCTTCCCCCTGCTGACCTCTCCACTCATGTAATTGGAGAAGGAACAGCGCTCCTCATTTCTCTCTGCATCTTTCTCCCAAGTGTGCAGGTTCTGACCTCTGTTCTGCTTTGCGTTGTTCGTTACCTCATCCAGCCATCCATCTGCCCGGCACCTAGTGAGCAGTCGCTGTGTGACAGGGATGAATAAGCAACTTCTGGAGGCTCTTGGCCCCGGGCGCTCGCACGCTTGGCTCTCAGTGTGGCTGGGAGGATGATCACCAGGAGCACTGAGAACGCACCCTGGGGCCCTGTGCTTAGACTTGGCCTACGCACGTGTTCCACAGGTGCTCAAGTCACTGACGTACAATGGTGAAATATTTGCATGGACCCTGTTCACATCATTCAGGACCCTTTACATCAGCTCTAGATGACTTACAATACTAAACACAGTGTAAATGCTGTGTAAATCGTTAGTACTATGTTATCTAGTGAATGATATCAAGGAAAAAAGAGCATACAAATTTTTAAATATTTCTGTTCTGCATTTCGTTGAGTCTGCCAGTGCAGAACCTGCAGACACAAAGGGATGACTATATATTTTAATCAGTACATGTTTGAAACATTTCTCTTCCATGTCCCTTCCTTCTCCCAAAACTTTTGCCAGCCATTAGGTAGGGCTGGTTGTAGGAGAACATGCCTGTAATCACAGCACTCGGGAGGCTGAGGCAGGAGGATTGCAGCCAGCCTGGGCTATATAGTGAGACCCTGTCTCAAAAAAAGAGCCATTGGGTAGGGCAGTGCTGGGTGGGCATTGACAGTGGATGGGGGATGGGAAAATACATAGGACCAAAGTTCAGTGACAACCTCAACAAAGTGAAGAGGGGCTGCAGAGACGGGAGATGGCTTGCATGCAGGGAGACTGAGCCAATAAGCAAAACAGTGATGATTAATAGAAATGAAGTTTCTTACTGCTGGAGAAGAAAGTTACAAGTAGAATAAATTTACGGGGTTAGACTGAGATTGAAGGTATTGGTATACTCAAGGTTTTATGTAAATTTTGAAATAGACGAAGATTGGTGTGTGTGATACAGACACAAAGACAGAAGGGACAGAGAGAGAGAGAGAGGTGTAAATATGTATATGAACTTGGACCATCTCATGCAGGAAGCAATAAAGTACTTTAAAAACTGAAAGGCTAAGGGCCAGGGATTTAGCTCAGTGGTTCCGCCACCTGCCTCGCAAGTGTAAGGTCCCGAGTTCCATCCCCAGATACCAAAAAAAAAAGAAACAAAAAAATTGAAAGGATATCATAAGGACACAGACCTGTGACACAAGCCACAATGACCAAAGTTAAGAGTATTTGAACATTACAGTATCACAAATGGATTGCAGACCTTTGAATAAAGCAGAAAACAAATTCACAGTGATGCCAATAGATACGTAAAGATATACGGAGAAAGGAGCACAGTATGTGCTACCGTTCAGACTTCCTCCCCGCAAAATGCTCGTTACACAGCGGGGAATGAGCAGTTCTGCAGGGGTGAGGCCCGGCAGAGGACTCTGACCGTGACCGGGTCACCGTCCCCTGGGATGGGGTGACATGCCCGGCTGATAGGGGCTCCCGCAGAACCCAGTGTCGTGCACTCTCAGGAAATAGAGAAGCCCAGAGGAGAGGCATCCTACAGAATGCCTGGAGTATAATCGTCAAGGTCATGAGAGTCAAAGACACCCTAAGACATGCTGAGGGAGACTAAAGAAATGCCCCAGCTAGGATGACCTCGTGGTCTGCGCTGAAACCTTCACTGTGAAAGGCACACAGTGTGTGGGGCCTGACGGCCAGACACAGCCAGGTCAGTGCCTGCTCTTGATGTAGTATGTTCTGGCCGGGTAGAAGAATGTCCTGTTCGTGGGCAATATCCTAAACTGTCCTAGCAGTGCGCAATGATTGCAGCGAGAGTTATTTCCAGACAATTGGGATGCTATTCCAAATATGTGTGCCATTTGTTCGGTGAGTTTTTGTGTGCTGCAAAGCTGTTTGAGCTAGTAAAGTAAGTTGAGTAACAGAAAGTCAGAACGGGCAAGAAAGAAACAGGTAACACCAGACCTGCCCGGGTGACAGTAATGCATTTCCTGGGATTTACAGCCTTTGTGTAGAGTAACTGGGCACCGTGCTGGTAGCTGTGCACGTGGCACACCAGGACCTACAGCCATCCACAGGTGTCCGCGGGCCTGGTCTTGGGACCCCAGTGAATACCTAAGTCCAATGTTCACATCGTCACAATAAAACGGTGTGCATCTCCTCCCACTCGCTTCAGATGACCTCTGAAATACTCATAACACCTAGAAATGGTTATGCCTGCACATCACTGCATGCACACAATTCAGGTCATGCTTGGAGTGCAGCAAATTTTTCCTTTTTTGGAATTTACTAGAATCTTTTAAAATATTTTTTCGACCCTTGGATGAGGAGCCGGTGGATACAGAGGGCTCACTATCTTCTTTAGGAAGTCTGCATTTGCATCCTTAGGCCCCACTGGCTCCAGTACTCAAAGACCTCCCTCACTAAACACTCAGGAACAAACCCCAGAGCCACCCGGGGTCTAGACTGGGCACTGCCATGCTGACTGGCACAGAGGGAGTAGCTGAGACCCCACCACCCAGTGAGTTCTTCCCTTTGGCGGGTGGTCCTGCTGTCGAGGGACGACATCCAGGTCACGGACTTGTGCCTAGATGTCTTCGAGTTTGAGGGAGAGTGGTTCTTGGAGCCTGCCTGGGCTAGGAGAAGCCTGAGAAGCCACCTCTTCCCTCCACTCTCAGGCGGGAAGTCCAGGCCACCCACAGAGTGACTCCTACCATCTGGTATTTCCCAGAAGGCTTCTCAGATCTCAGTAGGAGCCGAGCCACCAGGAGAAGGCTCCCGGGGGGCGACCTCAGTGGCCTGGCTATCTGAGACCACGCAGACAGAACCCAGCACAGGAGGCTCCCAGTGCCCACATGGCACCCTCCCCTTGCCTTCCTCTCTCTCCCAGCATGGTCTGGTCCGGGCACTGGCTGACTCTCTCCCATTCCCTAGAATGGACAACGCCGAGGACCCCGTGTACGAGAGCTTGGAGGAGTTCCACGTCTTTGTCTTGGCCCACATCCTAAGAAGACCCATCGTCGTCGTGGCAGACACGATGCTGAGAGACTCGGGTGGGGAAGGTGAGGTGCCAGGGACATCTCTGACCACGCCCAGAAGGCATGACGTCTACTTAGCAGACAGCCCCCGTGAAGGCCGAGCTCTTTCTGGGAAGGCCACCGCACATCTCTCCATGTGGACAGAGGCCACATTATTTCGTGTGTGTCCTTTCCTCCCCAGTAGTGATAGGGCTTACTCGTGGCCATCTTCCCTCTGTCAGAGCAGCAGCCGTGAGAAATCTGGCCAGAGAGGCTCTCTGTGCCCAAACGTGTCCAGACTGCCTCAGACAAAGGGTGTTCCAGAGCTTCAGGGCCACTCCTGTCCCCTCCTGCCCTCTGTACACTACACGGGCGGTAAAGAGAAAAAAAAGGAAGACAAAGCATGAGGTCCCTCGGCTGGGAGAATGAGGCAAGGACAGGAAAGGGCTGCTCATCGCCGACCCACGGAGAGCCAGGCTCCCTCCTTCTACTCCGCCACCTCTCCTGGGGTGGACACTGCTTCCCTCCTTACGGATGAGGGAACTAAAGCCGGGAGGCTGAGGTCCCTACCAAGTGCGGCCCAGAAGGCAGTACTCCAAGCATTTCCTCCCTCGAGAGGCCCAGGGGCAGGAGTGAGGGTGTCCTTGAGAACCCACAGGGCCGACCACACCCTCTGATGAGGCAGGAGAGGGGACAAGGCGGGGATGGTGGGCCAGGATGACAGTGAGTGCTGTCCCCAGGCCCCGCGCACCTGCCCCACTCAGCTGCCCGCCCTGCCAGTCCCCCAGCTGGTTTCCACTTTCCCTTCACTGCTGCCACTGTTGGGAGTCAGACCCCTCTCAGTGCCATGTGCCGTTTTTGTCCCTTCTGAAGATGACGTCGTCCTCTGGAAGGCCAAGCGTGCATTCCCAGCGACAGGTCCCTGTAGCCCTGCTTGATTTTACACCTCCACTCTGATGAAAGTTGCAGCTTTTCCAGAGAGTCCGGCCCATTGGGCTGTGGCTCTGCATGCTGGGTCACAGCTGCCAGAGATGTCCAGCGTGGCCACAGTGCTTACAGGGGCTCATCCCGCCTGGCACCCCCTCCTTTGCTGTGCACCCAGGGACTCGGCCTGCTGAGGGCTGTGGCTCCGAGTGCAATTCCAGGATGCACCCAGGGCCCTGTGCAAGCCAGGAGCCGGCTCCCAGGACCGCACTGGGCTGCAGGGTGGGCCGGGCTTCCTTGCACTCTGCCTGCAGCCAGCTTACAGATGGGCCCTCTGCTCTGGGCAGGAGTCCTCTAAGGAAGAATTGCACTGAGCAGGCAAAGTGAGAGTAGAAAAGCAAGCTAGGAAGTCATCAAAGATGTCGCTGAAGGTGACTGTCCCTGCCTTCTGCCCAGAGGAATGTGGCAGTTCCCTGGCGCTGGGCCAGAGGCTGCGCATGTCACTGCTGACCACCTGCGCAGGCCTGAGGGTCCCAGGGCGGATCACCATGGAAACCTGGCCCTGGTCCTGGGCACGGCCCCTCCTTGCCTTCCACCTGCTCCTTCATCGCGTTTGTGTCCACAGCGTTCGCGCCCATCCCCTTCGGGGGCATCTACCTCCCCTTGGAGGTCCCTCCCAACAGATGCCACTGCTCGCCTCTGGTTCTCGCCTATGATCAAGCGCATTTTTCGGCTCTTGTGAGCATGGAGCAGAGAGACCAACAGAGAGAACAAGGTAGGCCGCCTTCAGCAGATGGGCGCCAGCACTGGCGGGCAGAGCGGGGCACGGGATGGCCTTGGTGGGCCAAGGAGGCGCGGGGGCTGGGCTGAGGGCAGCTCCCTTCCGAATCACAAGTGTGCACACGCACAGTTAGGCCTGTGTGCGTCTTCACTAAAAATATCCTCCTTACAGTCAGTGTTTCGTTTTAAATGCTAACGGGAATAATTCTGCCTCCCTTAAAGGGCCTCTACTGTTTGCTCCCTCTCACATGGATATGTACATTTTTTTATTTAAATTGAACTTATTTCTAGCTGATACGTAAAAACATGACAATTGTACATATTTATGGAGTACCATATGACGTTTTGACACATGCATATGTTGTGTGATGCTCAAATCAGGGTAAACATACCTAACTCCTCAAACATTTGTAAATCTAGTGAAAACATTGAAAATCCTTTCTGCTAGCTTTTTGCAATACCCAATTTCCCTGCTATATTTTTAAAATCATATGTAATTTTTGTTAATGTACTATACATGTATTTCATACAGATTCATTTAGTCTTAGATGTAATTTTAGAAGAAAACTGCTCTAGAGCAGGGATTCGCAAACTACGGCCTCTCATCTACGTTTGCCAATAAAGTTTTATTGGAACACATCCACAGTCATTCATGGATATTTTGCCTGTGCTGTGGCTGTTTTATACTATAGCAGCAGAGCTGAGTAGTGGCAAACAGAGTTTGTGTGGCCTGGCCTGCAAAGCCTCAAATATTTTCTATTACTGCACAGGAAATCTGCTACTCATACTCTAGAGTGGGCTTTGGAATCACAGGTCACTCTTTCCTTTCAAATCATTAAAGCTGAGTTTCCTACAAGTAGCCATTTCAGTGCTGATGCACTTTCTGGGCCGGCCCCACTGCACAATTCCTGCCACCAGGCTGGGGCTTGTTTCAGTCAGTGCCTGCATTTGTTGTAAAAGTCAGAGGATTCTGCGCAAGTGATTGCTTTTGTCTCTTGTTATGACAGTGTGCAACTAGCTGCATGGTGAGGGGAAACACTTTTTATCGTCAGTTTTGTTTCGGGAGTAGGCAGAGTCAGTCCCCCAGGAGACTGAAGGGCAGGCAGGTTGGACTAGTTTCAGGATCTCCACTGGCTGTAGTCGCAGGAAACCCCAGGTGCCCCTCCAGGCTGCCACAGGGCAGGGAGCTCAAGGTGTCTCGTTCTGACTTCACTCTGAGAATGTAGCACAGCAAGTAAAACAGTGACCGATTGCCCCCCAGGGCTCCCAGATGGCGCCGCTTCCTGCAGATGATAGGGATGCAGACAGATGAACAAAACCAGCCTCCTTTAGCCCAGCCATGGCTGCACAGATAGAATCAGGGAGGGAGTCGTGGGTCTTCAGGGCTGAACCTGAAACAGAGACGCAGGGGCATCCCGAGCCCTCCCAGCAGCCGATGCAGATGCCTTGTCTTGAGATTTCCAGGGAGTGCAGTCAGTGTGCATGGGCTGCCACCAGACCGATGGCGTGTGCCCGCCGTGGAAGGGTGCACGGCCTCTGGGCGGTCTGCCCCTTGTTCTCCGTGACATCTGTATGTGCTATTTGTGCACCCGTGCAGTTCCAGGTTAGCCCTCCTCACTTCCCGTCCCCAGCCAGTCGTCACTGCTGTGACACTAGGACAGCTTGGTAGGGCGGTGTGTGGGGCTTCCAAAAAGACCTGGCCAACACGTGTAGCAATGGACAACAGGTAGGCACTAGAAAGGAGGTTCATGATGTGGGACCCCAAGTCAGAGCTTGCCTGCAATAAAATAACATCTGCCACCAGGTGACAGAGAGCCTCTGGGACTGCAGAGGTGGGTTGGGAGGCTTTGCTTCATGAAAGACACCAATGCCATCTATTTCTGTTCTTTTATCAAAAACTCATTATATAAGGTGATTATTGAAATAGATTTTCCTTCCTAAATGCAAATAGCCTGTGAGCCTCAGGGACATACCCAGGCCACACGGAGATCAGGGAGCCCCAGATGTGTCCCTGACACCTCCTCCAGGAGCCCTACTCAGCAAGCACAGAGACCCACCGGCCTTCGCTGGTTAGGCTGAGATGGTGGGCTGGCCCCATACCAGCTAGGACAGGCTTACAGACGCCACACAAGGTTTGCTACTCAGTGGTCGGAACGGAGTCACCCAAAATGTGACGCTCGCAGAGAAAGAAAAGGAGAGAAGGAGGGAGGGAAGGAAGAAAATCTTTTGCAAGGAACAGCTTGCAACCTTGTCTCTTGACAGTTAGAAACACACCAAGTTTATAAAAATGAGGTAGTTTATGAAAATGATCCTGGGGGAAGGAGGGGCCGCACAGAGTAATTCTACCCAGCAGGCCGTGAAAGCAGTTTCCATGTGAATTGATTCCTAACTCATAGTCGAATCAAACACTCCTGTGTCTTAGTGCCCCCATCAAGTGGACTGTGACATCTGTGGGTTATCTCTTCTCTGCGATGGTGCCGGTGGTCAAACCCAGGGCCTCCCGCGTGCTAGCAGGTGCTCCTGTTGAGCTGTATCCCGCTCTGATCGGACATCTATCTTCCAGCATATCCGGCCACAAACCATGCTTTTTCCTATACGGTTAATTTATAACAAACAGAACCAACCTCTTTTAAGTAGAAATTGGTCTTAACGTGTTGTATTAAGCATTCCACTTAAATAAGTGTTGTGGTAAAAGTTCATTGATATAAATCTAAAAGCGATTATTAACTCAGAATCACTTCTTTATCCAACAGTGAGCAAACTGGCCCAGCTGCGTGCCTGCCTGGACATAGCAATGGGGAAAATACATGACAGTGCCTATTACGGGATGTAATGGATGAGTGTGTGGTGGCAAAAAGGTTTTAGAAACCAGAAAGAACCTTAAAAATGAGACACTGCCTTTATTGTCTTTGCGATTGGCCTCCCTTCTCTTGAGCTACTTTCTACGTCTGCCAGGTGCCCAGAAAGGTAGGGTCAGGATGGAACATCCAGACTTTTAGCTCACAGCGCAGGCCAGAGGGACTCCAGCAGCAGGCGGCTCCGTGGTGAGGAGTCTTTCACCTGGCTGGGGGTCTTTCACCAGTGCCTGGGACCTTAGGTATCGCTCTGAAATGACCAAATCAGACAGACATGAGAACGAGCTGTGGCTGACGGGACTGTGTTCAGATGCCAGCCTTCCCCTTGAGTCCTGCGCCCCAGAGCAGGCACAGACACGGGGCTCCCCCTGTGGACACCTCAGTCTCTGTCGACCCCCCATTACTGAACCCCTGGTCCCCATGCGAAGTGCACTCTGCCTCCAGGCCGCACCAGGCTCCTGGGCACCACAGTGCTGGAATGAGCACATGCTGGCCACCAGAGTGCCCTTCCAAGGAGGGCAGGAGCAGCCAGAACTCACTGCCCTCCCTGGGTGTGAGACGTGAGCTTGGAGGTTGCTGGTGTGACCTCCTAGTGCAGTATGGGGGCGGTGGGCATCACTGCCCACTTCTGGCAGGAGGTCAGGAGCTCAGGGGTGGACTTGGGTGTGGAACCCTCCCTCAGCCTGAGCGCCTCAGTGCCGACTGCTCGCTTAGCAAGTGTTCCAGGGTCCTCAGTTTGAGTTGCTGCGACTGTGCCTTAGGGGGCGCGGCTTGGAGGCTGAAAGTGTCAGATGAGGGTGCTGCAGATTTCAGTCTGGTGAGGGCTAGTTTCGTGGTCTACACACAGCCCCTTTTTCCCTGGGAACCATTAAATCATTAATCATTAAAAACCCCATCTCATAATTGCATCACACGGGGACTGGGCTTCGACAAGTGAATCTGAAGGGGATACAAATATTCAGAGTGTAGCAAGCCTGTCCCACGGACTCACCACCAAGTCAAAGAGCTTGTCTCCGCCTTTACAACAGGTAACATGTAGTGGCCACTTGTAGCCTTGACGCTCTCCCCAGCCCTCTCCCGGGAAGCTGACTTCAGCCTGGAGTGCAGGATGCCACCCCTGTCAGCACAGCCCCTCTTGTTCGTAGGGTGGGGGGCCCCAAGGCTGCTGAGCAGAAGTGAGGCCGAGTTGCCCACATCCTCCTCACCCAACAGGCTGCCTTCAGCCTGGGCTCTTCTTTCTTACTGTGACTCATGGAATGGGAAGCCACAGGCAATAGCCAACACATAAAGCCACCTCTCTTAGTCCTACTTTTCCTAGACTGCAACCTTAGGAGGCAGAGCTCTGGGCCCACAGAAACGACAGGTAACCATTTTCCTGCATGCTTGGGGCCCATCTCACAAGGGCACAGAATTCTCGGCCCAAAGTGGTGGAATTCTCACTGCAGTGTCTCTCCTCCCTGCTTCAGGAATGGCATTCCATATCGGGAGAGCTTTGTGTCCATGCAAGAACCTGTAGGACAATTGTTTTAGCCGCTTTATCTGTAATAGAGGAAAACTAGCGCCAACCCAGAAGACCTTCCTGTCTGAATAGTTGAACAAACTGTGACGCACACAGGAACTTGGATGTGTCCTGAGGGAATGATGCCAAGCCAAAAGCAAAAAAAAAAAGTCCTAAAATCTGATTCCAGTTGGCATTTGGGTATCACGCATGAGATGACCAACCCATAGAGGTGTGAGAACAGATTAGTGGTTGGCAGAGAGGGGGCGATGGAGAGAGGTGGGTGTGTCTCTGAAAGGGTAGCAGAAGGGAAGGCTCTTGTGGTACAGCTGCTCTGTGTACTTAAGTTCATACATGTGGGAAATTCACATAGAACTCAACGCACAGCGTGGTGAGTGCATGTAAAATAGCCATCTGCTTACAATCTGGAGATCAGCAAGGCCAGTGTCCTGCTTGTGATTTGGGACTGTATGGTTCACAGGATGTTACCATGAAAGAAACTGGGAGCTGTGTCCACAGGACCTCTTTGGATTATGGCTTACAACTGAGAGCAACTGTAATAGAAAGTTCAACTTGCAAACATAAATAGCCATGTTATAATTGGAATATGAAAACATACGTTGACTAGCAGGGACATCAGTGGCAAAATGATTAATAAACTTAGTTTGCCTTTTTTTCTAAAACCTTAAAATATGGATATGGGAGCAACAGTTTGGATAATCCTTTCTTTTTGTTGGTCTTTCCCAAGAACCAGCTGCTTTGCATTTGATTGACTTCTGTCTATTTTTCTACTTGCAGTTTCATTGATTTCTGCTTATATTGCTACTATTTCTCTCCTTTTCTCCTTGCTTTAATTTTGGCTTCTTAAGGTGGAAAATTCATACTGAGCTGAGATCCTTCTCTTTATCTAACATAAACATTTTGATACTGTAAAAATTCCCCCCAAGCATTGCAGTAGCTACATCACAGATTTCGATGTGTTCTATTTCCATCTTCGTGTTGTTCAGTTTTTTAATTTCCCTTTCGACTTCATCTGACCTCTTCCTCTATAAATTACTTAGAAACCTGTTTAAATTTCAAATATCTGAGGATTCAAGTATTAATTATTGGCTTAGAGGCTCATTCAGTCACAGTCTGAGAACAAATTTTATGATTTCTCTTCTTTGAAGTTTGCTAAGATAGGCCAAGATCATTTTTTATCTGGTTATTATTCCATGTGCACATGAAAGGAATGTGTATTCTTCTTTTGTTGGGATCTGTAAATAATCATGAGTCAAGTTCTCTGATGGTGTGGCATAGGTCTTCCGTATGCAAACTTATTTCTCTAAGTCATATTTCAATCACTGGAAGAAAAAGCAGTGACTTCTTCACATCTCATCATTCTTTTTCCTTTCCTTTTTGTTAGCGCTGTGGCACCCTCGTAGCCTGGTTTTGCCTTCCAGTTACCATGGACAACTGTGTCCTGAAAACATTCAGTGAAAATGCCAGAAATCAATAGAGAGGCCACATTCACATAACTTTTATTACAGTATACAGTTATATTGCTCTAAAATAGAACAGAATAAACAGAGCTAATAAAGTATCATTAGTAATGTTGCTAAGTTCTTGTTGCACTTAAATTATACATTCAACTTCATTAGAGGGAGGTTAAGAAAAATACAGTGTGCTCTTGGAGGGCAGACGAAGAAGACTGATGTATTTGCATCACTCACTTTGAAGAGGTGTCCTCAGAAGCATATGAATGTACAGGGCTGTTGTGACTGGAGAATTGGCCCCTTTATCCTTTTACAATGTTCTTTCCTTTTGATAATAGTCCTTGTTCTGGAGTGTACTTTGGTGTTACTATGGCTCTCTCTAGCTTTTTAACCTATCTCTCTTAATCTAATAGAGTTCTAGTAGATAGTATACACTCGGATGTTGCTTTTTATCTGATGAGAATTTTATCTTTTAATTGACAGTTTTGACTATTTGCATTTAATTGCATGAATGACAGGGATGATTCTAACTATCTTCACTAGCTCATTCTTTTCTGTTTGTTCTGTTACTCCCTCTTTTTATTTCTGTTGATATTTTAGGTTAATTGAGCTTTTTAATGTTTCCATTTATCCCTCTTATTGACTGTTATTATACCTCTAGTTTTGTTTTGGTTTGGTTTGGTTTTTGTCTTTTTGGTTTTTTGAGACAGGGTCTCACTATGTAGTTGAGACTGACCTGGAACTCACTATGTAGCCCAGGCTGGTCTCAAACTCACAGCGATCCTCCTGCCTCAGCCTCCCGAGTGCTGGGATTACAGTGCTGGGATTACAGGAGTGTGCTACCACGCCCAGCTCCTCTAGTCTTAATTCTGACTGATTTTCCTACGTTTCACAAATCAGAATCTTTTACTGAGTTGTTTTGCTTTTTTTGTTTTTTTTTTTTCAGTGCTGGGGATTGAATCCAGAACCTTATGTGTGCTAGGTAAATGTTCTACCACTGAGCCACACCCCACATCGAGATTCTGTTCCCCCTATCCTTTGTGCTATCATTATTGGGCACATTACTTTTCTATCAACTCGGAACACATGACATGTGAGGGCTCCCTGTGCTTTACAAAGACAATTTTCTCAGAGCAGTAGTGGTGAACCTATGGCCCTTATGTTATTTATTTTTATTTTAAGACAAAATATATCAATGTATGAGTTGTTTTCTACACTAAAATTTCAGTATTCAATTCCAGCACTGGCACTTTGCAATAAATAAATGGCTTTGTGGTTGTAGTTTGGGCACTCATCTCTAAAAGGTTCACTGTCACTGTCTCAGCCCAATTAGAAGAAAATAAATTTCGTTTTCAGATGCATTTATTCCAGTTACATCACTATTGAATATGTAAATCCAAGTTGCTGGTAGTACCATGTTCTTCTGCCTGACAAACTTTCTTTAGCATTTCTTCTAGTGCAGGTGTGCAGACAATGAATTTGCTCATTTTTGTTTGAGAAAGCCCTGATGTCTCCTTTGTGTTTCCAGGATATATTCATTGGGTATAAAATTATAGATTGGCATCTTTTTCTTTCAGCCCTTTAATATACCACTCCGTTATCTTCTGCCCTGCATTTTATCATAAAAAGCCTACTATAATTCTTCTCTTTATTTCTCCATGTGTAGTGCTGCATTTTCTTCTAGCTATCTTCAACACATTCTCTTTGGTTTTCAGAAGTTTTAAGGTGCTGTGTATAGAAATGGTCTCATTGTTGTGATTTTTTTCCTGCTTCACATCCTGTTAGCATCTTGGATCTATGGTGGTGTTAGTCATTAATTTTGGAAAATTCTCAGCTATTACTTCTTTAAATATTTCTTCTGCCTGTTCTCAGTTCTTCTGGGATCACATTTACTCAGATGTTGGCCCATCTGTTATTGCCTCACCACTCTTCGATGTGTGTTTTCCAATCTCCTTTTTTCTTTCTGTATTTCAGTTGAGGGAACTGCAGTCAGCCTATCTTGATGTCCACAGTCTTTCCTCAGCTGTTAAAGTCAGCTCATTAACTGCTCAAAGTCAGTCTGCATCTCTTGCTATTTTTGTTTTCTTCTTCTTTTCCATTTCTAGCAGTTTCTTTGTATTCTTAGAGACTTTTGTCTCCCTCTCAAATCAAAACTGGAATTCTACACAGTATTCACTTCTTCTGTTGGTCTCTAATTACCAATTATTTTAAATTCCCTCCGTGGTAGTTTCAACACCTGTGTCACACCTATATCTTGCTCTGTTGACTGCTTTGTCTTCTGTTGATCTGTTGAGTGTGTGTGTGTGTGTGTGTGTTTTCTAATTCATCATAATTGTTTTACTAGAGTAGTAAAGACTGAGTGAGTTCAATCAATTTTATTCTTCAATTGTGTATCTTTTTCCTTTTGTTTAGCCTTTAAGTGACTTGGCTAAAA